CATCGAACCTAATTGATCAATGATCAATTGCTACCTAGATGTTCCCAATCTCACCTATCATCTATTCTACGAACCTAATTGATCAATGATCAAGTTGCTACCTAGATGTTCCCAATACTCCACCCTATCATCTAATTCTACGAACCTAATTGATCAATGATCAAGTTGCACCTAGATGTTCCCCAATCTCCACCCTATCATCTATTTCTACGAACCTAATTGATCAATGATCAGTTGCACCTAGATGTTCCCCAATCTCCACCCTATCATCTATTTCTATATTAGAAGTTAACATTAAATCTAAAATAGCATTGTTCCTTGTAGGTTCCCTGACCAATTGTTGAAGAAAATTACCCTGTCTTTCTTATGATTTAACTCTAACATTTACCATATATATCTGAAATCAAAATCCCTCGTAATAATTACCTCATTAACAACCGAAATCTTAATCTCTCTGTAGAGCTTATCATTAATTTCATCAGTTCATCTGGTGATCTTTGACAAATTCTAACTAAAAGCCTTTCCCCTTCTGATAACTAACAGGAATTCAAATAGATTCAACCTAGCTACTAGGTTTGATATCCTACTTATTATTCTAAAAGCAAACATGAAATCCAATCTCTCAATCGATTCAACACTTCATACCGGTTTCAGGGAATTCTGGTGAGTAAAAGACAACACCATACACTTACCATACATATAATTTGTATATCCTTTGTATACGATATTTTCCAATTCTTTCACCAAGCAGCACAACATAATTTCTCCAGATATTTTTATTATTTCATTTTACTGTTTTTAATTTGAAAATAACGATTCCATATTCCAGCGACGTGGATAACTGTTTACTTCCACTTTAGGTACACAACGGTTTATTAATGATATAGAGAACATGATTGGACCACGTAATAGAGCATGGGCTTTCTTCTGGACTATCATGTGGAAATATTTCACACCTGCAGCTCTTCTTGTAAGTGAAGGAATTAAATGTTGTAATTAGTTATAATTTTTTTCAATTTGTCAGTGTTTAATTAGTTCTAGTCAAAGGTTTTTTACTCCTTGTTTGCTTTCCTTGAAAGATCAATTCCTTTAATTATGTAATTCGTGGAAACCTTTACCTTAAACAGTGTTCAAATCCAGGATATTAATTAATGTTGTTCTCGTGCATTCATCCCAGTTAATTTCAATGTAACTTTTATATGACACTAAGACATTTCAAGTTTGTTTCCTGATTTACAACGTTTCTTTACATTAAAAACAAAACACATTTTACGTGTGTACTGTATGAAGATTATATTTCTCTAAGATACTGTTGCCATCTATGAGCAAAAGCTGTAACTACACAGTGTTTTGTAGTTCTCCTCCAGTGGCTCAGCGGTAACCTTTCTTTCTTTGTATGTTATTAAGCATAATGAGTTATTTGTGCTATACCCATCGCGGGTATCGAAACCCATTTTTTAGCGTTATAAGCCTTCAGAGTTAATCCTGAACCACTGGGCAGCCAGTGTTAAATCTGCAGGCTTACGACGCTAAAATTTGATACCCGTGGTGGGCAGAATACAGATAGCCTATTCTGTAGCTTTGCGCTTAACAAAACAAAAATATTCATATTGATCGGAAGCTGGTAATAAGTAGAAAAGTTTCCAGTCAACAAAGTAAGTGTACATTATCGTAAACTGTGATAGCCTGCTCTTAACCTTTAACCTTTCTGACAGTGACTACTTCAATGATGAAAAGTGTTTTTAACATAAGCTTAAGACTTTCACAGATACGGTACATAACGACATACTTTATAGAACAAGATAACAAGAGCATCTACCGTAAGCTGTACGTAACATATACCAAAAAAAACTAAACTTAGAAACAAATAACTTACGTATATACTAAAACGTAAACTAAAGTTAACGACGAGTAAATTAAGTCCACCCGGCCGTTCGGTAACGGAAGTTACGTTTGAAACGTTAAGT